CACACACACACACACACACACATATATACACATATATACATACATACACACACACACACACACACAAACAAGACCAACTAGACCCTAAGCTATTGTACCTATTACCGTCATTCACACATGAAAAAAGAACGGTATTACGGTTCGTACGGTAGTTAAATGTGTGTTGCTAGCTGCATAATGTCTACGTCAACTGTGTTTTAGGCCTACTGTATTTTTCATTTTAGTTTTAAGCACAATAAAAGTTCCGACTGCAGGAAATAAAACTGCGATGTATTATATTACTTTTAATCTAGGTTTAGGTTAGCCACGTTTGTTTGCATAAGTCTGGTAGCCTATATCTTATAATTCGGGTAAGTCTGTTTTGGTTACATTAGAATTTTTTTTTTCATCATAAGTTAAAAGTGTGCTGCATTTCTATCTTTTACACCTTTACATACAATCTTTTCTAGCCTCTGCGTATATAACATTTTATGTTGCGAAGTAAAATACCCACATTTCCTTGCTTGGCCTTGCTTGTCGAATTCAATTATTTGCTTACAGTTTGATAAATATTTTTGTATATAACATCAACACCCATTGCTTAACAGGAAGCACAGACCTAGTTCCTCCAAGGGCAGTCTAGCTGTGTTTAACACTATGCACATGGAGTAATGCCAAATACCCCATGTGTGGAGCACTGCATGGGTGCCAAAAACCTACCGATTCGTCAGTGGCCCAATGAATGGGTTGGTGATCAGCTGCACAGTGGCTTTGGAGGCAAACAGCAGTCCCACTTTGACATTCTCATTGAGGAGCGTCTTGTCATCCTTGTGGCAGTTTTCTTCTGTGTCATTGCCAAAGGTGACGGGTGCAGTGGCGACCACTTGACCAGACAGCCCCTGCACTGTGCCTCCAGTTACCCTGGTGGAATTGTCGTAGAGTGACATGATGGTTTGAAAGCTACTTGGGGAGTAGTCCAAGGAAGGTGTGTGGTTCTTCACAGCCATTCCCTCTTTAGCTGCTGTGTACAGGTAACTAGGGATGATGGGAACTGCCAACAGAGAAAGACAACTGAATAGTAATCAGTGAGAATTCATATTGCTGAGAAATATTGAAGTTTGTAGTCAATTTAAATACAGCAACTGGCTTGCCATACTTTAATTAGTACTCCTATGTTATTATTATTATTATGATGAATATAGCTTGCTACTGTACCCTGAAAACTGACTTTAATAATGCAAAGCCATAAAATTATATTCGGCACAACAGATGCAGAATCACCAGTTACCTACCTACAGTTTTTGTCTGGAGGGTACCTCAACACCGCTAACCTCATCTGAGTAAAGGATTATGTCTGCTTACATTTACTCCTTGTGTTTAAGCTCAGTGTGACACTGATAGTGTTTTTTACATATGAGATTTGCATTAGCCCTCTTTGATGGTCATACAATGTTGTGAGCCTTCCACAATTAAGACCTTAGCTACTTTTATCTCCTCAAAGTAGCCCAGTCACATTAACATAATAAATAAAATGGACTTTTTCTTAAGACAGTACAATGTAACTTTTAAAACAGGATACAAATGAAAACAATAAAGATTACATTATACCTAATTTTTCTCTAATTGATTGTAATGGTCAGTATTAATGAATTTTAAATTACACTATACTGCTATTTTAAGTAGTGTAAATTGGTTATTCAGGTTATGGCAATTCATAATATCCAACACTATAACACCAATGATTTTTTTTTCAAATATTTTTGAAATACTGACTTCCTGGTAAATAGATGTGATGCCAGGTGTTGGAGAATACTAAGAACACTATTGTAGTATTACTTTTTATGTGGCCAGGTAATACTTGATCCACGGCCATTTTCACTGTTGAAAATTTCCTTCAGGGAAAAAGTTAGTGTATAATTCATGTTTGCTGTCAACATCTGTATTCAGATGGCTGCCCCAGAGGCTGTAAGGTTTGAGGAAATCTGTGTCACATCAAAACCGGTAAGTGGACAGAGCTGCTTCAGTTACGTAGTGGTAGAATTAGTGGTAGAATTAATTAAGATAAACTTGCGACGAAATGTGATGTCTCGTAGTGAGATTCAGGCCTTCAGATAATGTATTAATAAGCTCTTTAAAATGTAGCAGCCTTTTATAGTTTGATAATGGTTTTCTACTTTTTGTGTTTAAAAGAATGTGTTCATTGTGGAAAGATATCCCAAGCGTAGATAAATATTTAAAGAAACAATAGCAATCACTCTATGTTACCGTTGGTTTTCTATTTATTTATGCAAATGAAGGGATTTTCATCTTTAATTTACCATTTAACTTGAGTTTAAGAGGAGGATATCTATCCGATAGCGTAAGGATTAAATGTTTCTATAGATGAATTTTAAAGTTTCCTTTACGTCTCATTTTGATCATTCCTTTCACATGGTATTTAGAGACGTAATGTTTGGTAACTAAGAAACAAAGTGATGGTTGTTAATTAACAAATAAAGGCTATATATATAGATTTAATTAACCCACATAATCTGGATATTTCACATATACACGAATGTTTACTTCCAGTTAACGTGTATAACATAGTTCTTTTTTAAATTTAGTTTTACATAACACTCTAAATCCGCAATACAACTTCTTATGTTTTCATAACTGTCAAGACCACATATAAACGTGTGTGTGTGTCTGTGTCATATTTAGTCTAGAAAAAAACATGTTGTATATGATAGTTACCGCGACAACCGTGCTCATAGTATTTATGCAAACACGTAAAAAGTCGTCAGAAATGTGTATGCTTCTGTGGATGCGTACAAAATACATGTACATTAAATATATGCATATATACTAATATATATGCATATAAACTGGTAACAAACATAAGGTCAATCAGTAAAACAAACGTGTTTCGTTTGAACGTAAGACTAAAGCAAAGTGCGTTAGTGTAACAGGTGCGAAGGTTACAGTATAAGCAAAACTGTACTTACCGACTACCGTAAGCAGCATATTATCCAGTAGCAAAGCGATGAAGACAATCAACAGAATTAACCTCCTCGATTGTCTTTCTTCCCGTAACCACCTCAAGAACCCGAATTCGCGTAGTTTGCCTAATCCACCCATTTTGAGGGTTAATATTAATTTGCCCTGAAATGAAAGGAAAAAACGAAAAACATGAACTACTTATATATTAAGTAAGCCTTACGTTAGGTTCAAACAACGAACTTGACATGCATACTGCTGAGGAGGAATAGACTGAAGACTGATGTGAGATAGTATCAAAGTGTTTTAAAATATCGTCTTGCAAAACTGTATGCCACGATGTGAAAGCTGCGGTCAGTTGGTGAGTTTTGGTTCTGACACGTTTTTAGGGTGACCACCTAATCCATGTCAGGAGGGACACTATGAGCTACTTCAGCTTTTACGAACTACTTTAAAGCTGAAAGGGTTCTGTGCTCTGCTAAAATGTTTGGTTAGTTCCTAGATTGAAAGACTCATCCAGCTGTTTCGCATTAACATTACTGACACATATGCATGATTATAGGAGACTGACCAATCAGCATACGGCAAGAACCCAGTGCTTAAGTGAAATCCTGGTCCTTTTAATTGAAATGTATGAAATGGTACTTTACAAATCCTGTTGTAGCTCATAGTGTCCATCCTGACATGGATTAGGTGGTCACCCTACACGTTTTACCTGCGGTTACCCAAAAACGGTTGCAATTAGTAAAAGGAGGCGACGCACATTGAATAGAAAAATAAAAGGTTAAAAGTTGCAAGAAATCTCACCTTAAATACACATTTGATAAAATCCTTTTGCTTTTCAGTTGAGGAGAAAGGAGGGTTGAATGTAGGGAGGTTTAGTTACTTGACTTAGCTTTGACGTCACAGAACCCTTATCACTCAGAAGTATCGTCAGCAGCATCGTCTCCCCAACTGCAACCGCATCCCAGCGTTACTTCCTGCAGATGACCAGTGCAAATCCTTCAGGCGTTTGCTCTTATGAAATGCGTCAATTCGCCACGACCTATTGTTAAAGGCACAACACCAGCTCTTAATAGATAATGTGATTTGGGTTAGAGGGAAATGCAATCAGTACTACCCCGTTAATACATGTTATGCGAGAATTTGGTTGGACCTGAGGTTTGTTAATGTCTTTAAACAAGTTGCACTATTACCCTATGACAATAGCCAACTTACAGCCACTCATTTATATTAATCATGTGTGCAATAATGAGAAATATAATATTGATAACAATTAAGTATTACTTTAGCATACTTTAAAAATTCTTTTTTAATTTCAAATAAAATATTTCTTTTAAAAATATGACATTAATTGAATTTGTAGCCCAAGGGAGAGCAGTGAAAGTCACTTAATATCAAACACCAATGGTATACATTATAAACAGCAATTTTATGGTCTAAGGGAGTATTCAATATCATAAACAAACCAGAGTGGTCTTTTTCAGGGAGAAGTGCAATTGAAAGTATGGATGGATGCAAAATATCACTCCAATGAATAGGAACAATAGCTGCTACAAAGAACAGTGTTATGTACAGCTTGATGTGTATATAATATAGGTATTTACTGTACACGTTAAAGCCGTTCTATTCAGGGCAATACATTGTTTATTTATTTCAGATTAATATTCTGGTCTAGATCTTACTTTTACTTAAAATGGCCCAGTTCAATACATTTCCTTTTAAACCAGCCAAGCACTCTGCTGTGCAGAGCGATAATGTTTTGGAGTGCCATCTCCACCTAGTGTACACAACTTGATCTGTGCCACTGTGTGCTGTAAATTGTTTATTGTGCCATCTAGTGGTTTGTTGTATCTTTGTACTACTGTTTTTACTATTTTGAGTCCCAAAGCATGATTAACTAGAGTAGACATTTTTTTCTAGAATTAGTTTTTGATCATGTTTGTTATACCATGTTGCAAGTACAAAGTAGCCAGATTAGTGCAAAAAGTCACATTTCATTTTCCCTGATCACATGTACAGTTAGGCGAGTTTGTTTTTACAAGGATGAAGGTAATAGCGATCATTTTATTTGAACTCATATTTATTAGGGATAGGCCGAGCCACATTTTTCAGGTCCGATCCGATTCCGATACACAACTGCCGATTCCGATACAAGAGCTCTTTTTACTTTGTTATACTTTATATATATATATATATATATTTTTTAAGCTAGTAAATACAGATGGAAAAAATGTATGACAAAAATATTTTCGGCTATTACAAACATACATAACGTACCGTTCCACCTCGTTTGTACGTCTGGTTTGTTACCAGCGTTTTTGAGGCATTTGCAGTTCAATATGAATATCTTCAAAACAAGTATACACAAGTGGCGAATGATTAAAATTTTAACACAATTTTTCTCCCATTTCTCTACACTTTGTTGCGATGGCAGCCCCTCTTATATCACAAGCTGCAGCGAGTTCGCAAGACAGTCCATATTAGCGACTCCCAAATCATTCATTGCTTTTTTTGTCTCGCACAGTTGCGGGCGCATTGTTAAGTGGGATTGTCCATTAACACAGAAGCATAACATTTTGAGCTGAATACAAAGAAAATGTATAATACGAATAAAGTGACCCTCACATAAAATAATGTTTATTTAGCAACCAAGCAATTTTAATTGGATTGAAATTAATATGATGCGCAGTTCTCTTCAGCATAAGGTAGCTTCAATGTGCTGAGGCCTCTTTCGATCATCTACAGTGGACTGGGATAACACTTGGACCAAGGTTCCCCAGTTCGGGGCCTGGAGGGCCAGAATCCAACACAGATTTCCCTGCTCAAAACACAAACTAAAGAAGGTAATTAGCTGCTTAAGATATGTTTCAGCAGGGAAATCTACAAACAGATTGGAGAACCATTTCAGCTTAGCAAAAGGTCACAGTTTCTATTTAATTCATAAGTAAATAGTTATTAGAATCTATGATGTAAGATGCAAAGTCATCAAGAAGTGGAGTGTTGTTTGATTATTGAAATGGCACATGCTGCAATGATGATGCATTTGCATGCTTTATTTCATTTACATTTACCAGACACTCTTTTCCAGAGTGACTTACAACAGTGTTTTCACAAAGCAATAGAAAGCATTCCCCAAAAGCTTCAAAATTATTTTTCCACTACATAAGCAAGCAGTTGGTGTGCCTCTCTTGACCACTGCAGTTTAATTACTTTCAGGGAATGAATATTCCTTCACCTGTCCTCTGCTGATGCACCGCATGCATTTGCGGTAACAGCTGACAATGCGGTTCTGGCCTAGCTTGAAGGCCATGGACATGATGGCCATACCACCAATGAGGAAGAGGGAGGTCAACATGAAATAGTTGGGATGTTGTGGCATAATGTCTCCAAAACCAATGGTGGTGAGTGTGATGAAGCAGAAGTATATGGCATCAAGCCTTTCAATTTCTGTTTCCCACAGAGGTAGGATGATACCAAAAAAAAGAATGTAGGAGAAGACCACCACCAGGATAACCATCATAGGGACATCTAACTTCTCTAGGTCCCGCCCAATATTCTCTTCCCTGATTTGGATGTCCTTTTTTTGGGATATCCGACTGAGCTCGGGACAGGAGTGGCTACGCTGGAGGGGCTTTTTATGGGCGATAATACAGTTGAACGATTGCTGGCTTAGTATCTCCTTTATGTCCACTGGTTGTCGAATGAGCATGTCCCGTCTGAGCATATAGGTCCCATCGTGGACAAGAGCCTCTTCCACTGATTTCTCCCTGCACCTTCTAAAGGACCAGCTGCAGAAGGATGACTGGTATAGGTGGTGCAGGTGCCAGTAGCCCCTGGAAAGGAGGATTGCTAGGACGTCACCCACGTCGGTGATCACCAGGAGCATCAGTGGGATTCCTATCATGGCATAACCCATGCAGAACAGCTTCCCAGGCAAAGTCACAGGGTAGATTTTTCCATATCCTGAAAAGAACCAAAATGTATTTCATGTATTATATGCAATATATTTTATATTGTAATGTATTTAATTTTGTATTTTCTCCCATAGTACAACAGATACATTTAAATGTTGTTTAAATGGACTGCCAAATTATCAATTGCAGATAGTGGCTTTCATTCTGTAACTGACTGAAAATTAATAATTTTTTTTATTATATGATGTAAGTGTAAACTTGCCCACTAATTCCCATTAGGCATGCCATTGGAATGCATCTGTAGGTGCAGGTCAATGCATGATAAGAAAAAAATGGCAAATTGTATAATAAAATGATATTCTTTTTTTTTTTTTCCCCCCCTTGTCGTGTCCAGCAGTTTAGCAAGCAGGGTGTTAGTCTGGGTGTCTTATTGTGCCAACACTTTTATTTTAACAAGTGGAGCTTTGGATTTAAGCTCCTCTTGTTACTTGAGGTATACTCTTTATTAATAAGTTATATGTCAATGCGCCACAAAGCCGGAGCTGACAGGGGGGGTTAGTGGGAAAGAGATAGAGAGAGACAGTGAGAAAGGAGAGAAAGGGGTGAGAGACAGAGGAAGTAGAAAAATAAATAAATACATAATAAAAATAAAATAAGGAGGGGGGTCAGAGAGAGAGAGAGAGACAGAGAAAGAGAAATAATACATAAACAGTAGAACAAAAAGGAAAGAGTAATAAGAGAACAGCTTCTGCATCTTGCTGCTTTACACCGTATGATCACACCAGCTGCTGTATCTGAAAGATAAGATCCAGGGACACACACAAACAGTATACACACAAAGAAACCAGTGGTACCATTATGACATGGGAATGTGCTTGTGCCAGTATCTGCTTCTGGAATTAAATACGTTAATACCAACGAAAGAAAATAAATATATACAGTAGGCACAAGCAGACCACCAGGAACACTATCCAACCATTGTCGTACCCGCATCCGCATCCGAGAGGAGGGAGTGGAAGCCACACACCAACCCCCACACACACTCTCACACACACACACACACACACACCCAGACAAGGGGAAAGAGGGATAAAATAGGGGAAGAGAGCCCCAGGC